AACCGGGGTGGGGGGGAAGAAGACTTAACAACTACAGTTCCTTGAAGTTGATATGACAAGCAAACCGAAAGGACATTGTTGGGTGGGAGGGGTGAGAGGGAGGTGGCAGGGGGGTTTTGGTAATGGGCCACAATAATCAACCTCATTGTATATTGACAAAATAAAATTAAGAAAGAAAATAAATAAATAAAATTTAAAAAAAAGAAAAAAAATGAAATTCTGTAAACTATACAAACACATGGAAGTTAAACAGCATTCTACTTAATGACATATGAGTCCAAGAAGAAATCAAACCAGGAAATCAAAAATTTATTGAAACTAATGAAAACAATGATACATCATACCAAAACCTGTGAGATACTACAAAGGCAGTACTAAGGGGGAAATTTGTTGCACTTAATGCTTACTTCAGAAGAATGGAAAGATGGCAAGTGAACAACCTAATACTTCACCTTAAAGAACTAGAAAAATAAGAACAATCCAAACCCAAAGTTAGCAGATGGAAAGAAATTGTTAAGATCAGAGCAGAACTTAATGAAATTGAAACCCAAAAAACAATACAAAAGATTGATGAAACAAAAAGTTGGTTTTTTGAAAAGATATTGACAAACCATTAGCATAGCTAACTAAAAAAAGAAGAGAGAAGACCCAAATAACAAAAATTTGAAATATAGAAGGTGATATTACAACTGATACTTCTGAAATACAAGGTATCATTAGAGACTACTATAAAAAACTATATGCCAATAAATTTGAAAATCTGGAGGAAATGGATAAATTTCTGGACACACACAAACTAACAAAAATGAGCCAAGATGATGTAGAAAATCTGAACAGACCAATAACAATAAAAGAGATTGAAGCTGTCTTCAGAAGGCTCCCAACAAATAAAAGCCCAGGACCAGATGGATGCACAGCAGAATTCTACCAAACATTAAAAGAGGAATTGACACGAATTCTCTACAAACTACTCCAAAAGACTGAAACAGAGGCTATTCTTCCAAACTCATTCTATGAAGCAAACATCACCCTGATACCAAAACCAGGTAAAGATACAACTAAAAAAGAAAACTACAGGCCAATATCCTTGATGAATATAGACACAGAAATCCTTAATAAAATACTAGCTAACAGAATACAGCAACACATGTGCAAAATTATACACCATGATCAAGTAAGATTCATCCCAGGGATGCAAGGTTGGTTCAATATACGCGAATCAGTAAATGTGATACACCATATCAATAAAATCAAACACAAGGACCATATGATCATCTCTATAGATGCTGAAAAAGCATTTGATAAAATTCAACACTCATTCATGATAAAGACTCTCTACAAGTTAGGTATAGATGGAAAGCATCTCAACATAATTAAAGCCATATACAATAAGCCCACTATCAATATCATCCTGAATGGGGAAAAGCTGAAAGCCTTTCCCTTAAAAACAGGAACTAGACAAGGATGCCCACTCTCACCACTCCTATTCAACATAGTGTTGGAAGTGCTAGCCAGAGCAATCAGAGAAAAGAAGGAAATAAAAGGCATCCAGATTGGAAAAGATGAAATCAAATTGTCCCTGTCCCTGTTTGCAGATGACATGATCCTATATATTGAACAGCCTAAAGCCTCTACAAAAAATCTCTTGGAGTTGATAAATGATTTCAGCAAAATTTCAGGATACAAAATCAACACACAAAAATCAGTAGCATTTCTATTTTCCAATAGTAAACATGCAGAAAGAGAAATCAAGAAAGCTTGCCCATTTACAATAGCCACCAAAATAAATAAATAAAATAATTAGGAATAGATTTAACCAAGGATGTGAAAAATCTCTATCATGAGAACTATAAACCACAGTTTGAGGATGGGTTGGTGGGATTGGGAATTTTCTTCCTTTCTCTATTTAGCTATCATGGGTCTCCACATTCTCTCGGGTTTCTGTGTGGGTCTCTCCCCAGATCATGGCAGTCAGTGGGCCGTGCATGAACCTCCCACTCTGGTGCACTACCACAGGGAGGGGCAGTATAATTCCCCCTGTGGGTTGGGACACTGGGTCATGGGTCTTTGCTCTCTCACATCTTTCCCCAACCTCCACTGTTGACCCTCCCTGTGTCAATACAGCTCAGTGGTTGGTGGGCCATCTGCATGGTTATTGTGGCTGCTGTGATGGGCCACCTTTGCAGCAGTGGTAGTTGTGGCACTGCTTTGGCAGATCACCTGTGCAGTGGCAGTGTCTGAAGCAATGGTGTCCTGCACTCTTGCTGTCTGTTGGCAGGGGCTGCCCTCAGTTTCTGAGGTCCCTGTGCTCCTGCCAGCTGTCAGGAGCTGACCTTGGGTCCTGAGGTCCCTATGGTCCTCAGATTCTTAAAGATAGTAAAAGACTTGCCTGCAACCACACCTGTCATATGTAAACCAACCAATCCAGAGCCCACATCCCAACTGCCTCATTTATTGGGCACTCACAGGGCTCTCACACTCTAGACCATTGTCCACCT